GAGAGAGAGAGAGAGAGAGAGAGAGAGCTCAAGTGCTATTTGAATTTTAAGGATTGGCAGTCGTGTTTATGGAGACTGGCAAGTCCCAAACCTGCAGGGTAGAGTGGCACCTGGGAGTCCCAAGAAGAGCCGACCTTGCAGTTCAGGGGCCAAGGCTGTCCTCTATGGAGTTTTCTCCTCTTTGTTTTGTTAAGGTTTAAACTGATTAATCGAAGCCCACCCATAGGATGGAGGGCAATCTGCTTTGCTCCAAGTCCATCAATTTAAACGTGAATTCATCCAAAGCACTGAAGCGTCCAGAATCATGTTCAACCTAATATCCAGGCACCGTAGGTGAGATAAATTGACGCACAGCGTTGACCATCACCACTTCTGCCCTCTTCTCCTTGGACTGGAGGGTTCCAGTTGGTTTTCCAACTCACTCATCGACCCTCCGTGCCACCCGAGGACTTGGCTAAAGTTGTCATCTGCCTGTCGGAATCTCCTCTCCTGGTGACATTTGGAGACAGGGTCTTTAAGTTAAATGAGGTCACACGAGTGAGACCCTCATCTGACAGATGCTCTCCTGGAAGAGGAGGAAGTGATGCAGTGGATGTGCAGGCTCTGAGCAAGAGCCACAGAGGACAGGGTGCAGCAGGCCCTCTGCCAGCCATGAAGAGGTGTCTCCTCAGGGCTGTCGGCACCTCGGTCCCAAACTTTCAGCTTCCAGAACTCTGAGAAATGAATGTCTGCTGCCTAAACAGTGAGTGGTGATTTGTTATGGCAGCTGTGCTGACTGACAGACAGGGCCAGGCCCCGGCACCTGGCCACCCCCCATACCTCAGTGGTGCAGGACGTAGTGCTAGGGAGGGGACCCCAGCATCTGGGAGAAGCTCTGTGGTGGCTCCATCTGCTCATGAGCATGGACAGTAGGAGATGCCAGCAGGGCTCTGGCTCTTGGTGTAATGGTCATGATGTTGCAGGAGAGGATAGGGGAGGGGTGGCATGAAATCAAAGGAGGTGGGGAGGATTAAATCTCCCGCAGTGGCAGCAAAGCTGGGTAGGCAGGCAGGACTCCGAGAGGGCGACTCACTGAGCTGCCCTTCACTCCCCGACTTCATCTCTGCAGATCCCGGGGCCTTGGCAGTTCTTTGATGCTTTTTCTGCACAGCAGAAATGTTGGTCTGCCCCTTCTAGTGTTGCTAGATGTAGAAGTCTGGACCAATATGGTTCTGAATACAGGGTTCATAAGAAATAATAATAATAAGCCAATGGCCATTGTCCATGCCTGTCTTCCCAGAGCCTGAGGCAGGAGGACTGCAAGTTTGAGGCCAGAATCAGCAACTTAGTAAGGCCCTGTCTAAGAAGAAAAGTTAAAAAAAGCTGGAGATGTAGCTCCCGTGGTCGAACACCCCTGTGTTCCATCCCCAGAGAGAAAATAGAAGGGATCTCTGGACCAATAAAGAACTCCTGGAACCAGCACCTTACTCCTAATAATTTAATAATTCTCTGTGGACCTTAATCCAAAGTTCTGCGACCCACGTCTTTTGACCAGTTTCATTAGAGGAATGGTTATTAATAATGAGGCGGCATGCCCAAGGGACCAGAGAAACACCTTTTCTTGATCTCTTTTCCCTTTTCTCTACCAACTAGGTAACATGAGGGAGTGTGCATGTCTCTGAGCCTCCATTTCTTCCTCTCCACGGTGCTCACTCTGTTATGATTTGTATCCTAAAGCATCCATCAGAGTCCGGAGTCGTATGCATACGTGGGCCACATCACTCTATCCCATTCTATCCAAGGGTTTGAGTGTCCACTCCTCCCGGGGCCTCACTGACGTGAGCCCTCTCTTACTTTTTCATTTCTGCCATGACATTTCTCCAGGGAACAGGCAGCACGGATATTTCTTTCCCTTCCGTTATGGCTAGATATTATTTATTATTTAGATTTATAAGCCAAACCCTTTTGCAATAAAGTCACTTCAGGGCACACACACAAGGTTAAAAGCTTTAGGTCAGATACACAGAACTATAAAAATAAACAGCTAGAGCACACAGTGGAAATATTATTTAAAGAAAAGTGGTGACTTCAACAGAGTGGCCCTTTCAGTGGAAGTCATTTGAAAAGATACAAAGATGAATGAATCTCATGGAGCTTTCCAGTTGTTTAATTAAGGAGTTGGAAAAAATACCGCCCCCCCCCCGCCCCGAATTTGCTTCAAAATTTCAGTTGAGCCAAGCAGGGCAGACAGCCAGACCTTAACCAAGGCAAAAGCTCGTTAACGTTCCTCAAAACAGAGAGGAAGAGCAAACACACACATCTCAGAATGTCGGCCCAGAACTGACGGAGCAGAATGCCACCTCACACAGGTATCTCAGAAAGCAGCGAGGTGTCACCTCAAGGGTGAGCAAGTCGGACGGTCTCATGACACTTTTCTTGGTCTTCACAGGACCGGCCACTCTTCTTTGTGTGTCTTCTTTTTCCTGTGCCCTTTCTACCTGAATTTAAGACTTTGTTTGATCTTTTCATGTCTGCGTCTTCTATGGGCTTGGAACCTGCTGCGGAACGGGCTGTGTGGTCTGATGTCTGCGTGGTCTGATGTCTGCATGGACAGTTCCCGGCCCTTGTAACTCTCCATCACAGTTTACTGCATCACTGGACAGATGAAGACTGGATATGGACATTTTTCTACCAGAGATGCTTTTTGCAAAGCTAAACTTGTTAGGTAGGATGTTTGTATTTCAACAACCTGTGAAGCTTGGAAAACAGGAACTAGCTCAGGAGGACTGAGGCAGCCAAAACTGTGGCTGTTTGCATTTTAGCTTAACCAAGTGTCAGAGCTGAGCTCACAAGAGTTTAAAGAGAAAGTGCAGAGCTGGCCCTGAGATCCAGGGACAGCCTCAGGGAGCCAGGTGGCTCCCAGCCATCCAGTGCTCTGGACCCTGCCTCTCGAAGCAGCCAAGGTGTCCATCTTCCCAGCTGCAAAATATTCATTCAACAAAGGGTCGTTCATAGGTCCTTGCTGAGTGGAAGGATTTTAAAAGTGCTTTTCTCTAGAAGGAGGAGCATCCCTCCCACCCACTGGAAATCAAGGTGGGTAACAGCTTGTCTTCTGAAGCCCACTGCCTAGGTTTCCTCTTAGCTTTATGTTTACTACCAAGGATCTTGGATATGCCACTCTGAGCCACGGATTTTGAATATGTAAAACAGCAATGTCATCGGTACTTTTCATAAAGTTGTTATAGGAATTAAATGGATTAATACATTAGATCAATGCCTGGTGCATAATATATGTTCTATAAATATCTGCTGTTATCATTTTTGTCCATACCTACTTTTATAATATTTTTAAGACTATATAATAATAATTATTATCATGTTACTATCACAATAATATTAAAATCTTATAAACCTATCATTCCTTTTAGAATCTCTTTGGGGTCAGTTGCTATGTTATCCGTATATAATATGCAAAGCCACCTAATCATATTGGCATCATTGTTTGTATTTTGCAGGTAAGAAACAGCCTCAGTGTGGAAAGGTGAGCTACCAAGGCCACAGTGACAGCCAGAGGAGGAGTGGGACATGAGCCGGAGATCTCTGAGGTGCCCTTCTGCTGGAGCACACTACCTCTTTGCCTTCCCACATCCGGTCAGCTCTCCAGTGTTGGCTTTCAGCTGGGGAGAGGCCTACACCTACTCTTTGATGGGATCCACTGCCCCAAGGCTCTGGCTCCGCTCTCCAGGCCTGTCTTGTGAATCTCCCTCCCGTATTGCCCAGAACTCACTAGGAAGGCCTCACGAATTTTGCTACAAGAGAATACTTCACACCAAAACTTGCACTCTTGGAAAATGTCACAACTAAAGTCCGGTTGACTATGAGTCAGTACAGATGGGGGACAGGGTAAAGAGTACAACCCATCACAGGACAGCAGCAGTGCAGGGCTCCAGGCCAGCCACGAGATTGACCGTGACATTGGCCAACAGCTTGGAAATGCAGCAGTTGTTCTTCCTCTCCTGGTCTCAATGTCCATGCATAAAATG